AGAAGACCAAGAGGAGCGCCGCGAACAGTTCGAACTCCTGAAACTGTTGAACGCGTTCGACTCGATCTGCCCGTAAACATGCTGCTGCACTTCGCCTTAGTGATCGTTCGGTAAGGCGAATTTTGCATATGGATCTCCGCTTTCACCCCTACAAATTGGCCATTGTGCAACAGTTACAGCCCGGAGATTATGCACAACGAATGAACTTCGCACGTGAGATGGAAGCGATGTTCATTGGCCTCCTCGGTCCCCAGATTTATCCATATGCGATGTTTGCTTTTGGGGATACCTCAAGGCTAGAGTATACGCGAACAACTCCCGAACTCTGGACGAATTGAAAGGCGAAATTCGGGTGGAAGTCGCCCAAGTTAAGAGAGCGATGTTGGAGAGAGTCTACGCGAACTTCCAAGAACGCCTCCAGCACTGCATCAACGATTTCGGCCACCACATGCCTGATGTGATTTTCCACACTTGACTGTCTCAAATGCTATTTCCTTGCGTACCTGATTCCATCAATAAATTTGTTTTCGGGTAAAAACTATTTTATCATTTTTTTAAAACCGTCCATCCTCTCTGCCGCATCCTGTATATAGCCGAAAAAAAAAGTATTCGTTTGAGCTTATCGCGTAGAACATTTGTTTTGTTAAATTTGTGGTAAAACTTGGCCATTTGTCAACACTGCCGGCCAATCATTATAACAGGAAGATTTAATATAGCTAGTTGGCTAGAACTTGATTAAGTCAGGTGAAACCTGCTCTCAATGGGCTATAATTTATAATATTGGTTATGATCAAAGCAAAAATTAACTGGTGGGCAGTGCTATAACTTTTTATATGGACAAATTCATGCGATATTTGCATTCGATATAATGGCCGGAAAGTTTTATCTACTTGCTAATCGATTAGCACTCAGCTGCTATCATGATTTCATCCATTTTGCTGCCAGTCAATGCTAGGTTTTTTCATGATAAGCTCCATCAACATGATTTTATTCAAATAGTCATGTAAACAGTTGAGCCTGAGCAAGAGGAAGTCGTAGTTCAATTTATGTGCCTCAGAGCCAGATTGTGCTCTGTCCAAATAATTACTTTGTACCAAACCTAAAAAACATAAAAAGCCGACAAAATGTCATGTTGTAGACTCAACGACTCGACACGTTCAAGCATGCATTGTTGGTTGCAGAACGCCAAGTGGCCTTCATCTCTGAGAAGGCGTGAAAGAAAGAAAGTTGGTAGAGTAGCAAGATCGCACCTATATGATTATACACGGTGGCGCATCGAAAACGAAACAGACGCATTTACGGGCAGCTCAGTTTTTTTTCTGGAAAAACGATCAGACCCGTCGATTTTGTTTTCGAGGGGACACAAGTTTGGCGGGGGTGACACCAACCCTAAAATCTTAAATGGAAAGGGGGGTCGAGTGATACCTTATTTTAAAAGTCTTTCAATTCCCTTTATAATTATACTAAGTGACATATAAATCCGAACACCCAGTTTAAATGGTTTTATTTTAATAAAATTTTGTATAAGTACTTAATGAAGCATAATAAGTAAATGATAAAAATTTCAAAATGATTGCACTGCCATCCTGCAATCCTCATGTAATATTTTTTACATTTTACGCCATGTGGATAATGGCCAACCATTCTACCTGTCATATCGACTCCACCCATAAACCTGTTGTACTGGATTATACACCGAGGCCTTGATACCTCAACATGCTTTTTGGTTTTTCTGTCCCACCTTTTAGCTTTTTCTTGCGGTTCCTGTCCACAGAAGGACGAAACCATATGCACAATTTTATTATCTGCCCAGCGAATTACAGAAATGTTATCTGAAGAAGTTGCTACAGAAGATGACTCTCTACCAGTCTTTAGAAGCACCTTATTATCCACGAGCTTTTCATCGGCACCGTGAAGTCTGTTAGTTCAGATTGTCCCTACCACATATATACTAAGTGACATATAAATCCGAGCACCCAGTTTAAATGGCTTTATTTTAATAAAAGTTGGTGAATGTATTTATCTTACTGTAAATAACAAGTGAAAAAATTTTCAGCCTTATCAGTTGGACATTCTGGTTTTTATACTGCTTTTTTTTTTAATTCACTAACGCTCTAAAAATGAATATTTCAGCCGCAGTAAAGAATCAACGTTGGCGGATTTTGGTTCTTGACATCCTTTACGATCCGTTACGATGCCTAGAGTACGGGGACCTGTACGATTTCGTCAACTTAGTGAGTTTGATAGGGGCCGTATACTGGGACTTCGGGAAGCTGGACTTTCTTTTCGGGCAATTGCAGTTAGAGTGCAAAGAAGTGTAGACACTGTGGTTAGGTGTTGTCAGGCATGGCTTCGAGAAGGCCGTACGCAAAGAGCAAGGGGCACTGGACGCCGCCGTAGAACAACAGACCGTGAAGATCGCCGCCTAAGATTATTGGCCTTAAGGGACCGTTTCTCCACTACCAGGTCCATTGCAAATGAATGGTTTGCAGAACACGGAAGACCTATTGGCATGCGAAGTGTTTACTGACGAAAGAGAAGTTTTGGCTTGTTTTCATACCGGTCACACTGGGTCCTCCTTCGAGAACACCGACGTAATCGCCTTGAGTGGTGTAGACAACGGTCACTCTGGGATCAGGAATGGAACAGTATTGTCTTTAGTGACGAGTCTCGATTTTGTTTAGGCATGCACGATGGTCGTGCCAGGGTTAGAAGGCGACGTGGCGAAAGGAGGAATCCACAGTTTTTTGTTGAAAGACATGTTCATCACACTGTTGGAGTTATGGTTTGGTGTGCTATAGCTTATGGTTCCCGGTCACCTTTAATCTTCATCAGAGGTAACATGAACGCGCAGCGTTATATTCACGAAGTTCTAGAACCCCATCTTTTATCCTATCTTGACACCCTGGCAGATCCAACTTTCCAACAAGATAATGCCCGACCACATGTTGCAAAAGTCACAATAGACTTCTTTCAACATAATGATGTCACATTGTTACCATGGCCACCAAGATCTCCCGACTTATCCCCAACTGAGCACGTGTGGGATATGATTGGTATGATATTGCTCAATTTGCAACGTCCTCCTCAGACTCTAGAAGCACTTCGAGAGGAGTTGGTGGTTGCCTGGAATGAGATACCACAGGAGGACATTGACCACCTGGTCAGAAGCATGCCTAGGCGCGTTGGAAAATGCGTAGCACATCAGGGTGCATCAACACATTATTAAAGGTCAAAGGGCTTTAAAGCAGTGCAATCATTTTGAAATTTTTATCATTTACTTATTATGCTTCATTAAGTACTTATACAAAATTTTATTAAAATAAAACCATTTAAACTGGGTGTTCAAATTTATATGTCACTCAGTATATTATACATTTTTGGAATCAGAATTAAATACTCTATACATTTTTGCGAAAATTCAATATGGCGTCTGTGAGAAAAAATAAAGTTGATGCTGGAGGTTAAGGAATTCTAATCATGCCATCTTATAGGAAAGAAAAAGTGGCAAACTTAACGTGCAGTTCATTTCAAAATCCGCCTACAAATAGAGCAACGAAAAAATTAAAACGATTTTTAGGAAATACGGTTTTCTCGATCTCCTCCAGAACAGAATACAAGCAACAGTATCTTCTAGTTAGAAGATTGATGATGTCTCATACTTAGTGCTTGTAGAGTCCGCCCAATATTAAATCATCCTCTAATTCCACGTCCAGGTGTCGGATGAGCATTATGCAGCAGTCATTAGCTCAAAAGCAATTTTCTGCAGAAAAAGTTTGAGTAATGGCCGGTAATACAACAAAGTACGCATGAAAGTGAACGCAGATTATTGCATTTATGGATGTAGGAGTACCTATAAATCCGAACAAATTATAAACTGATCCGAGATGTAATTGAAAATGATGGGTAAAGTCAATATGGTGTAATTGATACTCCAGAGGATTTATGTATCCTGATAAATCCATTATAATATTATACTATACTGACCGTGGACGATTTGTATAAATGGATTTAACTTAAGGAGGAATTTCATGACTAAGGTCGCTGTAACTAATGCATTCTTCTTCTGCTCGGCCTAAAATTTTGCGGAACATTTGAATTGGCGCTACGGGACCACCACGAAACCGAAAGCTCTCAAAACCCGGGAATATTTCGTGGACTGATTGATTTTTCTGCTGAGGTTGATACAAGCTTAAGCGAACACATAAAAAATGTTTCAATATTTAAAGGAACTTCAAAAGAAAGACAAAACGATCTGCTGGATTGTATTCTTGAAGTTTGTCATGAAGAAATAATAAAACAGATTAACAGAGCCTCCTCGTATTTGGCGATAATAGCAGATGAAACAACGTACATTTCGGGGAAAACCCAACTTTTAACAATTTTCAGATACGTATTTAACGGTGAACCAGTAGAACGTTTTTGGAATTATACGAATCCCGAAAAATGTGACGCTGATACTCTCACAAGATATATTTTGAGCGTCGTAGATCCATTAATAGGAAATTTTAGTAACAAACTGATTTCACAAAGCTATGATGGAGCCGCGGTAATGAGCGGACATAATGCTGGAGTACAGGCAAAAATTAAACAAAGATATCCATTTGCTCACTATGTGCATTGCTATGCGCATCAGTTAAACCTGATTATTTACCAAGCTGCTTCCACAAATGCTCAAGTTCGGGTGTTCTTTGGGGATTTGAAAGATACTCTGGGAATTTTTAATAATTCTCCTGAATGCGTAGAGGTACTGAACAGAATTGTGGGGAAAAAATTCCCCAAGGAGCAACAACTCGTTGGAATTTTAATATTCGAACAATAAATATAGTGTTTGAGAACAGAGAATCACTCATTCACTGCATGGAAGAAATAGAAGAAAATTTCACTAATGAAACCGTTTGCAAGGCAGCTTGCGGTATTTGCCGTATGTTAAACGATTCTGTTTTCGTGTTTTGCTTGACATTTTTTCATCATGTCGTGCCTCACGTCAACATCTTGTTCAACCAGTTGCAGAAGAGAAAAACCGAGCCAGTGCAAGTTAAAACGTCTATGGATAATTTTGAAAAATGTATTGTCGATGTGAGAAATAAAATTGATGACATGATAAATGAAGCCAAAAGTATTTGCACTGAACCTCTGGGCAACAAAAGGAGACGACGTAATGATAGCAGTCACGATCACCGAGTTGCCGCATTAGAAGTATGCGACAATATAGTGAATTCTGCAAATGACAGATTTCAATTCAATGATCATTTGGTAGCCGCATCCCTTTTTTTCCCCGAACACTTTGGAGAATACTGTGGTATGTTTCCTGATGACAAGTTGCAAACTACCTGCTTGGCTTATCCCGAATTAGAAAAAAGTCGTTTAAAGACAGAGTTGTCTGTTATTTATGCACGGAATGATTGCCGAGATTTACATGGAACTCTGTCTCTTTTGAAATTTTTGATACAAAATAGTTTAGAGGAAACACTAAAAGAAACAAAAAAGCTATTAGAAATTATTGTTACAACTCCTATGTCAACATCAGAGGCTGAGCGAAATTTCTCAACATTGAAAAGAATCAAGACTTTTCTTCGTAATACTTTGACCCAGGATCGCTTTACAGCGTTTTCGATGCTGTCCATTGAAAAGGAATTTATTTCGACCATGGAAAATTTCACCGTTAAGGTGACCGACAAATTTGCTGCCAGGAAGGAGCGCAGAATCGAACTGACATATACAAAATAATTAATTCTTCAAAACTCTGAAATAATCTCCACTTTATATTTGACTGACTGCAATAGGTGGCCTGGATGACTTATTGCGATACGTCACCACCGAAGACACGTTGTTGTACGTGTCTCCATTTACGAGTCCATAACTTCGCATTGCATGGGAGTGCTTTTATATCCAACAGATGTCTTAATAAAACTGAAGATGGACAGTATATTCAGTAACTGTCACCAACGCAAGATGTTCTGAAACTGTGAATGACTGCCTGAATCGCCTAGTGCGAGAAATACAGAGATATTGGAGGATACATGTTTGTACGTTGTAAATATGGATGGAGTTATTGTGGCAGAAGAGATTAGATGTACTGATTTGATAGTCAGCGGAATATGCGTAAAATGTTTAGTACAGGAAGTATGTTTGCGAAAATATCTTCTGATTTAGTTGTCTGCATGATCCTGGTCCAAACGGGTCGCTTTCAACAAATATTCATGTTGCCAGACCCAAAAAAGCGTTAAAAGGTGTTTAAAGAAATTCTGAAGAGAAGCTCCGGAGGTTTTTTAGGTTTTCCTGGTTATACTGAATAGAAAGGGTTTTAATGAACTTTTCTCGATAGTTTTCGAGATACTATCGATTTATTATCTGAAAAAAGGCAAAATATGCTATATTCGATCCAGAAGAACAGTATAAAAAACGAAAGTCTGAATTCTGTCGTAGTTCATGAATATTTTTGAATTAATTTAATTTTCAACTTCTTAATCGTGAATGTCAGCAAGACAATACCGGTGCAGTTTTATGCCGGTATACGATAATCGTTGATCTAGCGGCCACGTAAAGCCGTAGGTTTTTGGGCAAATAACATTTCCCAAACGTCCATTTTTCTTGTAGAAGTAATATTATTTTTTACGCAGTGAGTATATACAGGGTGGCACATAAGTCCTTTGAGATAGAAAAAAAGGAATAAAACCAAACTAGTTACATTATGAAGAATTATTATATTTTGTTATCATCTTTATTGAATGGGAATTATGTTTTAGAAATCACATCGTCTAAATGCAATCCATTACGATCACGGCACTCATATAAACGACGTCTAAAATTGTCGATGACTGCGCGGCAAGTCAACACTGTAATGCTTGCCATTTCTCTTCGGATATTTTCTTTCAGGACATCAAGTGATCGCGGAGTGGTGTCGTACACTTTACTCTTGAGGTAGCCCCATAAAAAGAAGTCCATTGGAGTCAAATCTGGACTACGTGGTGGCCAGGAAATGTCTGCTCTTCGAGAAATTACTTTGCTGGGAAAAAGTTGACAGACGACGGGCATAGAAGTGTTGGAGGTGTGGACAGTTGCTCCGTCCTGTTGAAACCAGGTCTGCGTATTATAGCCTGGAAAATTCTGCAACGCTGGTGTCAAAAACTCTTCTATCATTGCTACATACCGCTCCGAAGTAACAGTTAATGCGCGACCTCTGTCGTCCTCAAAAAAATAAGGGCCTACGATGCCATGCGCTGACATAGCAGCCCAAACTGTAACTTTAGGGCTGTGTAAGGGCTTCTGATGCTTACGCCTTGGATTTTCGGGGCTCCAATAACAGCAATTTTGTTTATTTACATGCCCGTTTAAATGGAAGTGAGCCTCGTCCTAGAACAACACATTATTGAGCGAAGAAAATCGATTCAACATTTCATTCGCAAAGTTTAGTCTCTGAATAGCGTCATTATCTTTTAATTCCTGCACTAACTGAATTTTGTAAGCGTGCAGACGTAAATCTTTCCTTAAAATCCGCTGTAAAGATGTTCTGGGTACGTTTAGTGCACTAGAACGCTTACGAGTAGACTGGGTAGGATTTTGACGAACAGACTGTGCCACAATGTTGATGTTTTCTTCAATACGAGTTGTCCTTGGTCGACCCCACCGCTGTTTATCTAACGTCGAATCGGTCTCTTCGAACTTAGCAACCCAGTTCTTAATCGTTTGAGCTGTTGGACACTTTGTAAAATTGTGTAAATTGTGGTATTCTCGATATTTACGCCGCGCAATGGTTGCCGAATCATTATTTTGATAAAACGCGCAGCACACAAAAAGCACGATCCGCTCCAGTGAAACACTCCATGACGACTGAATTCCCAGACACTGAAGATACTGCCCCCACCTAGCCCGCGCCGCTCACACTCACCCGTTAAATTTTATTCAAATTTGAAATTTCAAAGGACTTATGGACCACCCTGTATATATATATATATGCTTTCCTCAAACGACAGCTAGTTGATTGAAGATAGCATTTCTTTTGTTAAAATAACTACATTTCACATACATATTGAGACAATATAATAAGCATGATTTCGTATTAAAAAAATTTTTCACAGGGGTATTTTCGTCTAATATGAATAGACTAATAAATTGCATTAATATTTCTGTTATAGTAGATTCTGAACTTTTTGTATGTCAAATACTACAAAGTTTCTGGGAGTTTATATTGACAATGCCATGTAGAAGTAATAATTTATAATGCATTATCATAATTAAGAAGTTGTTTCAACGCCTCGCAGCTTCTGAATGTCTATTTTACAATTGTATATCCGCATATGTCATATGTCATATCACGTTATTATATGGGGGAATTTCCCACGAGCAAATTTTTCAACACAGAAAATGATAATTCGGTTGATATTCAATATGAAAATTAAAGAATGTTTGAGACACATAGTTTTTTGACTCTAGAATCTCTCCAAATCTGTGCTACTTGCAACGCAAAACTTTGAATTATATGAAAAAAATTATGACATCCATAGCTTTCCAAATCAATTAGTTAGTGGTTTTTTGAGAAAAACATAGCTGTGTTTTTACCAATATGTGATAAATAAGAATTCTTCCTAATTTAACCTCAACAATCCAGTTTTTTGTTCGTTGACTATGTGTTCTCTTCTACTTCGTCTAAAAACAAGTTCAGCAACAGTCTCGCTGCCTTAGTAAGTAATGATACTCCTTGTTAATTGTTTATTGTTGCTACTTTCCAAAATTTTGTTTTTAGCTCCTGATGATGATGGCATAGAATAGACCTTCGAAAGCTTGAGCTTAAGTTAAAAGAGTGTACTTTGCAAAACTTTGCCTCCCTTTTACATGAGCCATAAACTTCTCAATTCATTGCCAAAATCTATAAGATGTCTTGGAAAAAGGCTCAAGAACTTCTTACTGGGTGGTCCCTTTTTCTCCGTAAGAAGTAATTGTTCATATAGTTTGGCAAACGGATCTGCGACATCGGGGTATCGGTGAGGGGAAAGCAAAACATGGCTGGTTTCATTCATAAAATGCCAGCGGCGTGCGGTATTTTATAAAAGTTTGGGATTATTTCATAATTGGTTTAAATTTAGTAATCTATACGTTTATGTTTCACTTTAAATTTGGGAAGTATCTCAATAAGCCCACAATAATATGGAGCATTGTCCATAATAATAAATATAGTCTCGGGTAAACTCAAAAATAGCAAAAATAGCTGTTCTCTACATTCTACACCATGTAAAAAAACACTCGAGTTTGTTTCTACACTTCAACAAACGGAAAAATATCTACTCACTTCCCAAAATTGCCACAATTCAAAAAATCATGATAACTGCGCGATTTAAAACCTAATTTGAAAATCAAGCTAGCGTTTTTGTCAAAGCCGTAAATAAAATATATTTTTCAAATACAAATAGATACTTAACGTGTTTTTTTACCTTGAGAATATATATATATATATATATATATATATATATATATATATATATATTATACATCCGTGATCTTATAATATGCTCATTCACTTTAAAAAGTGCCACAAGCCGAAACATGACCAGAATTAATTTTCATTTTATAATCCGCATCTTTCTGGATTCCTATTGTTGCAATTTTGGACTGTTGATGTGGATATTTCTAGAGCATCGGTGTTGCCTAAATAAAAACAAAGAACTTTAAACATATTTCATATCCGTTTAACTTATAACCTCTGTAATAAATAATACTTACATTATACAGCATTTCAATATTACATTTCACCTATTGAATTAGCATTGGTGTTCGTCAACTTTATCATTATCATCATCGTCACTGTCGTCATCAGTTTCGCTGTCGTCATCTTGCCCTATAGTTATTATAACTGGTTCCATTTCCTCCATAAATTGATCATTTTCCCAAAATTTATCTTCAATGTCCCTAACATGTTGAAAATTTCTGCCAATCATTAATGGATATTAAGTATATCGCTTCCTGTGTAACTTCTTTCAGTGCGGTTAAACTGAAGTTTCCAGTGGTATTGCGGCTTCTTATATGAAATTTAAGCTTTGCCCAAGCTAATTCTATTGGGTTTAGCTCGCATAAATAAGGAGGTGTTCTTAGAGGAGTATGTCCATGTGATCTTATGATCCGATCAACTACATAATTTGTTTGGTTGTCAGGGGGCTTATGAAGTAAGACCAGATCGAACAAGTCAAATTTTCTGGCAGTTGCCTCATGATTTATGCCTATAAAATATTTTATTGTATAGTTTGATATGTACATGCATGTTTTGAGTCATAAGTACCTTTCTTTGTCAACCAGGCCATTATATCTTTTTTCGAAGATGATTTTGTCGGGGTTTTATCTTCCTGGACGGAATGATATGGAACATTGTCAAATACTATAACCGAATTGGCAGGTATATTCGGGAGGAGTTTTTCGGTGAGCCAGGGTGTGA